CATCATCATCATCATCATCATCATCATCATCATCATCATCATCATCATCATCATCATCATCATCATCATCATCATCATCATCATCATCATCATCATCATCATCATCATCATCATCATCATCATCATCATCATCATCATCATCATCATCATCATCATCATCATCATCATCATCATCATCATCATCATCATCATCATCATCATCATCATCATCATCATCATCATCATCATCATCATCATCATCATCATCATCATCATCATCATCATCATCATCATCATCATCATCATCATCATCATCATCATCATCATCATCATCATCATCATCATCATCATCATCATCATCATCATCATCATCATCATCATCATCATCATCATCATCATCATCATCATCATCATCATCATCATCATCATCATCCTCATCATCATCATCATCATCATCATCATCATCATCATCATCATCATCATCATCATCATCATCATCATCATCATCATCATCATCATCATCATCATCATCATCATCATCATCATCATCATCATCATCATCATCATCATCATCATCATCATCTCATCATCATCATCATCATCATCATCATCATCATCATCATCATCATCATCATCATCATCATCATCATCATCATCATCATCATCATCATCATCATCATCATCATCATCATCATCATCATCATCATCATCATCATCATCATCATCATCATCCTCATCATCATCATCATCATCATCATCATCATCATCATCATCATCATCATCATCATCATCATCATCATCATCATCATCATCATCATCATCATCATCATCATCATCATCATCATCATCATCATCATCATCATCATCATCATCATCATCATCATCATCATCATCATCATCATCATCATCATCATCATCATCATCATCATCATCATCATCATCATCATCATCATCATCATCATCATCATCATCATCATCATCATCATCATCATCATCATCATCATCATCATCATCATCATCATCATCATCATCATCATCATCATCATCATCATCATCATCATCATCATCATCATCATCATCATCATCATCATCATCATCATCATCATCATCATCATCATCATCATCATCATCATCATCATCATCATCATCATCATCATCATCATCATCATCATCATCATCATCATCATCATCATCATCATCATCATCATCATCATCATCATCATCATCATCATCATCATCATCATCATCATCATCATCATCATCATCATCATCATCATCATCATCATCATCATCATCATCATCATCATCATCATCATCATCATCATCATCATCATCATCATCATCATCATCATCATCATCATCATCATCATCATCATCATCATCATCATCATCATCATCATCATCATCATCATCATCATCATCATCATCATCATCATCATCATCATCATCATCATCATCATCATCATCATCATCATCATCATCATCATCATCATCATCATCATCATCATCATCATCATCATCATCATCATCATCATCATCATCATCATCATCATCATCATCATCATCATCATCATCATCATCATCATCATCATCATCATCATCATCATCATCATCATCATCATCATCATCATCATCATCATCATCATCATCATCATCATCATCATCATCATCATCATCATCATCATCATCATCATCATCATCATCATCATCATCATCATCATCATCATCATCATCATCATCATCATCATCATCATCATCATCATCATCATCATCATCATCATCATCATCATCATCATCATCATCATCATCATCATCATCATCATCATCATCATCATCATCATCATCATCATCATCATCATCATCATCATCATCATCATCATCATCATCATCATCATCATCATCATCATCATCATCATCATCATCATCATCATCATCATCATCATCATCATCATCATCATCATCATCATCATCATCATCATCATCATCATCATCATCATCATCATCATCATCATCATCATCATCATCATCATCATCATCATCATCATCATCATCATCATCATCATCATCATCATCATCATCATCATCATCATCATCATCATCATCATCATCATCATCATCATCATCATCATCATCATCATCATCATCATCATCATCATCATCATCATCATCATCATCATCATCATCATCATCATCATCATCATCATCATCATCATCATCATCATCATCATCATCATCATCATCATCATCATCATCATCATCATCATCATCATCATCATCATCATCATCATCATCATCATCATCATCATCATCATCATCATCATCATCATCATCATCATCATCATCATCATCATCATCATCATCATCATCATCATCATCATCATCATCATCATCATCATCATCATCATCATCATCATCATCATCATCATCATCATCATCATCATCATCATCATCATCATCATCATCATCATCATCATCATCATCATCATCATCATCATCATCATCATCATCATCATCATCATCA